TCGTCAGGTCTTGATTTCCAGATTAAAGTGGGTAATTTTGCTGGTAAAATTTGGCAACCCAAAACGACACCTGCTGTAAATCCAGAATTCCTCGTGGTTCCAGGACAGCTGTTTTTTTGTTTTTATTTTTCTTCTTACAAGGGAGGGACAGGGGGGGATAACAGTCACCTCACAGCTGGTGGCTGGTCCTCCTCGATATGTTTGCCAGCCTCCAGGAGGGGCTTGGAGATCACCTGGAAGAGGCGCAGTGAGAGGAAGCGGACAGTGATGGGCCCACCGGTGGCCGGGCGCTTGCAGGGCTCTCTGCTGCTGGTGACCGAGCCGGCTGAGTTCGAGCTCTTCTTGCTGAGGTCTCTCTCCTCCCCAAAGCCCACCATACCCAGGCTCCACTCCCAAATCTCTGGGAATTTCTCCTACCAAAAATTGGCAACCCGAGCTCAACAACCCACGAGCGGATTGTAGCCTGAGCCACAGGGGCGTTTGTGCCAACAATTGCTTTGCTTTTTGCACAAAAGGAGGAGAAAGAGTCTGTCTGCAGTACAACGTTATTTTGATCCAGTTCTTGCTAACCTATGTCATGGCTCCTGGCCCCCAAGAATTGTAGTTTACTGAGAATGATGAGAGTTTGATGAAAGATTCTTGCTATCCCATCCCCAGACTACAGTTCCCAGCATGCCACAGGACGAAACAATGGTTATTAAGCTAGTATAGTTGCAATACAAATATATTCTGAGGAAGACAGAAGTATGCGGTGAGACAATGAGAAAAAGCAGAAAGGTCGCATATGTTAAAAAAAAAATTAGCTTCCGTGCTGTAGTCGGGGGTTGAAAGTGGATTCCTCCCAGCTTTGATTTTGTTTAAAAACCAGTGTGACACTTAGTTGTTATCAACTCTGTGCTGGGGGATTTCTGGAGATTTGGGAATGGTGCCTGTGGAGGGGCGGGACCTCAGCAGGGTATAATGCCGCAGGGTCCACCCTCCAAAGCAGCTATCTTCTTTAGGGGAATTGATCTCTGCAGTCTTAAGATCATTTGTAATTTCTGGAGATCTCCAGGCTCCAACTAGAGGTTGGCAACCCTGTGCTAGAGCATCAGATTAGGACCTGGATGACTAGCAATCCAACCCTCACTCAGTTTTCCTCACTAGGAAAACTCAAGCCATTCCCTCAGTCTAAGCAGAGGGCTGTAGTAAGAAGCAAGGTGGGGAATTGGTTACTGACTCCAGTTTGGGAAATCCTTAGAGCTCAGCACTGTTGCACTGTTGCTCTAGGACTTCCATTTCCCTTAGACTTTATGGTATACCATAGAGTATACCCTCTAAAGCTGCCATTTTCTCCAGGTGAACTGTAAACTGGAGATCAGTTGTAATTCTGGGAGAATTCCGGGCCTCACCTTGAGATTGGTAATCCTAAAGTACAACACCATAAGTTTAGTTTATTGGCAAAAGAGATGGCTACAAATGGCCAGATTGTGTGAGCCTCTCTGTAACACATCATGTAAATGAATTACAGAATCAACAATATATGTCTCTTGCACATCTTTCCTTTGTCAGCTCAGTGTGCCTTACAGTAACAAAGGCCTAATACAACAGAAGAAAGGAAAATGGATGGAATGTGGTAGTATATCAGTTTAGAGGTATGCTCTGCTGTTACAGTCCCCCTTCTCTACCTCTTTGTTTAGTTTGTAATTGGACAGTGAATCACAGAGCCAACAGACCACGGCTCTTTGAAGTTTCTAGCATGCATCACACTCATATGCTTGTCTGCCGGTGATGTGGGCAGTTTGCATTTGGCCAGAAGGGAATGAAAAGCTGTGGGGAGGCACTTTGGCAAAGAGGATCCTGGCTTCGTAGGGCTACCACAGTCATCTTGGGACTAACACCACCACCCCCAGCTCAGAATTTTTTCCCAATCTGAATGCAGGCAAACATATATATATATATATTTATAAAACATGCTCCCCCTTCTGTCAGGTATGAGAAAGCCGCCCAAAACTATGCCAGGGTTTACAACAGAGTAATGCTATCACAGTGGAGGCTTGCTTATGATCTCCCGTTCCCCATGACAGTTGGGTCGACAAGAACAGTCAACAGACCACAGCCACTGGGGCAACTATTCTTATGCCCACCCCACTAGTCTCAGCATTTATTTCATTGCATCACACACACACCCAAGAACCGTTCATGTAGGGGTCTCATTTTTAGCCTGCTCTGTTCATGCACATGAAAGTTCTAAACCTAGTTCAGTTCTGAAGTCGAGAGGGAACACATACATTGCTCTCTGAGGCAGTGCAACTGTTGAGAGTGTTGTGAGTAAGACCTGGGGGTCCTGCCCTTAACATCATCAGAACATGCAGTAGTATTCATTGTGTATCATGTTGTGTTTATTGCATTATCATCTACTCTTGTAACCCAGTTTTATTGCATCATTGTACACAAGCTGCAGTGGCTCAAGTGGTTAAGACGCTGGACTGCAGGCTGTGGAAGGTCGGTAGTTCAGCAGTTCAAGACCCGGGTGCCGCATGACGGAGCTCCCGTCTCTAGTTCCAGCTCCTGCCAACTTAGCAGTTCGAAAGCAAGAAATTGCAAGTAAATAGTTCAGTGGGAAGGTAACAGCGTTCCGTGCACCTTGGTGTTTAGTCATGCCGGCCACATGACCACGGAAACGTCTTCGGATAGCGCTGGCTCTTCAGCTTTGAAACGGAGATGGGCACTGCAACCCTAGAGTCGGATTCGACTGGCTTTCAAGCAAGGGAACCTTTACCTTTTTTTACACAAGACACTCCACTGCGTAGCTCGCCCGTCTCCTGCCCTCCTGTTTGTTACACTGCTTTAGTGGTGTTCTCTACTGCTTTTATTGCAATCTTTCTAGCTGTAATCCGCCTCGAATCTCAGTAAGAAAGTCAGGCTACACTCAAAATGCACACCCTCTGGTAACCTCAGACCTGTAAATGTTTCTCAGCTATCCTACCTCAAGACTGTTGTGAAGATAAGTTAGAGAGAAGAGCCATGGGCTCCACCCTGAGCTCTGGGGAAGAAGGGCAGCATTAAAACAGAGGGAGTGGTGTTTTTATCTCCCCTAGCAACATGTAAATGTTTGCACAGCCCACTCCGGCTCTGGAAAGAACATGAGACACAGCGGAAGGGAAATATCTGTCTGCCACCTGACAAAGGTGCTCCCCAAGTAGGGACTTTAGCTTCTTTGCGGATGACCAGATAGCAAGTCAACTGTTCCTCTGACATCAAGCAAGGCGGCCTTACACGCATAGCGGAAACGTTTTCACCAGACCCTCAAAAGGCAGCTCTAAAAAGTCACAGCAAACGCATCTCCACCCACTGCTGAAGACCTCTAAGGCAGCACCCCCCTCTGCAGAACTGAGCATTGTCTGCAGCCATCCTCTTGACTCGCTGGCCCACTCGTTTCTCTGTGACGTGGATGATACACAACCACAGTGTAGCTTCTTCAAGTTGCTCAGGGACCCTGTAATCACCAGCAGCAAAACCAAACGGCGGGGCCATGGCTCAGTGGAAGAGCACCTGCTTGGCGTGCAGGTTCAATCCCCCTGGCATCTCCAATAAAAAAGACCAGGCAGTAGGTAATGTGAAAGACCTCACCCTGAGACCTGGAGAGCCATTGCCAGTCTGCGTAGACAATACTGACCTTAATGGATGAAGGGTCTGACTCAGTGAAAGGCAGGTTCACCCTTCCTCCCACTAACAATCCACCGAAGCTGCTCTTCTGTGGAAAAAGCTTTGTTGAAACAAAGAGCAACTGGGCAAACGGAGTCTTCATCACAAACGCATTCTACTGCTTAGGCTCTGGTCATCTTGCCTAACAGTAAAGTCTGTGTAGGCTTTGGGGACAGTGTGAGAACTGGAGCATCCCTTACTGAAGGCACAGAACAAAGTTTGAGGCCGGGGGCACCTTTTAAGACTGACAAAATTTCATTCAAGAGATTTGCCAGATTTCTTCGGCGGCATGCAGGCAGATTGAAGTGGAAGAGCGCCCTCTACTGTCCAATTGCTGACATTTTGGTATGATTCGACCATCAGCTTCACACTTCCTGCAGCAACTGTTTGCAGAGTGGAGGAGGGCTCATTTCCATAAACATTGCTGTGCATATATCACGAGGCCCCAAACTGGGTGCAAACCGGGGCTTCTAGCCAAATGTACACAGGTATTTAAAAGCCACATCCCTCTCGTTCACCCTCGCCATGACTGGGATCCCGAAAATCCATTATTGAAGGGTTCCTAGTGCCCTGCCCTCGATAACTCCAGGCTAGACTGATCTCGTCAGATCTCAGAAGCTAAGCAGTCGGCCCTGGATGGTATTTGGAAGGGAGACCACCAAGGAATACCAGGTCATGATGCGGAGGCAGGCAATGGCAAGTTGCCTGGCAAAGCAGGAAGAGACTTGCAGGCTCACTCTGCCAGTGCTCATGAGATACTCAGCACCTGCACATAATAGAATCCCTTGTTTGTTTACAAAGGTTGACCAGTTCATATTTTTCCACACAAGGAGAGGCAATTTGCATGTGGCAAGAAGATTTTATACTTGTGGTGGGCCCCTTCGGACCCAGAGCCACCAAAAAGGAGAAGCACTGAACCCCAGGCACACTTGGAAGGGTCTTCCAATGAACAAGGGTCAGTATACCTTCTGCATCTTCTCTGTATTTAGTCCCCATCTTCCATATCCTATTGCAGACCATGTCTGTTACTGGTGAAACAGCATTATTATTTCAGATAATCTATTAGGCACACTAGGCTTTTTAAAAATAGGGCTTAAAACACTGAAATCAGCTCAATACAAGACTGCGTGGAATTCATGGCCCTTGTTTTTGCTCTGCACTAGCCCCAGCCCTCATCCATCAAAGTCCACAGAAATAATATTCCCCACAGACTGGGCTTCATTCGTTCCTCCTCCTGAAATGAAAACTTTGGAACAAGAGTTTCAACAAACATCAGACTTTAATTACTACATTTATTTCTTTCCAAAGCCAGAACAAGATACTTTCGAAGTTCTAAAATTATTAAAATTGCTAGAAGTGCACTTAGAATATGAGAACAAAGTAGTCAGATATGCTTGTGTATTAGGAGACCCAGTTTCTATAAGTTCTGCAGGACATTGTCATTTGCTGAAACAGCAAGAAGAGTTGCCGGGATCCACGCAACGCACATGCGGAAATTCTTCTGCATACGTACAGATTACCATCCCCAGCTGCCGTTTCTACCTTCCCCAATGATACTGAATGCCACTGATTCCCCCCTCCTGACATCCATGAGACACTTCTGGGGGGCACAGGAAGACTATGGCAGGAAGGAGGGGGGGGGAACTGAAATGTCCCATGACACAATAGGCACACTTTGTATGTTGACCAACAATGGGCACACTTTGTATGTTGACCAATCTCACCAAAAATTACCACTACTGGAATGGTTCAGTGCAAGAAAAGATGGTTAAAAAACACAGGATTTTGGATACAGTTTTAAAATCAGTTCAGTCAATCTACAAATGGAGCACTTCCTGAAAAGTAGCATGTTGATTGCTAGTGCAGGTCATTCCAGTGGTCAAGATACTCAAGCCATATGAACCAAAGATGAGACAGCTGAAAGTCCACAAAATGCTACATTGTCCAACAGCTTGCATAGTCTTCAGTCTCAATTTCAAAACAGGACTGTCAGGCTGAATTGTGCGTTCCGATTTGTGCCAGCTCTGCAAGCACACACTCTGGGGGCAGTTTGTCACAACAGTAATCAGAAGGCAGTTAATACACACAATGAACTGCTTCAGATGCCTCCAACACAACTGCTTAAGCAATCTTTAGCCCAGTTCTCATACTGTCTGATACCAGGTCATCTATTTTTGCACAGTGAACATAACTTCTGAATGTTCCACCATAAGTCAAGATTTACACATCCATTAAAAATTCCGGTTATTCAGGACAAAGCAGTAGTTCAGACTACTATACGGCAGTGCATTCAGACATGCCCCCCCCCAGTATTTAAGCCAGTAGTTGTCTTTAGGTATCAAAACTGACTGATAATCAGACCCCTGATTCACTGGACTGCTAGCCTTCTCAACTACAGCAGAAAAAAACAAATCAAAATGTGGGCACAGACACCAATTTCAACACATGGACACTGAATTCTTCGCAGGGAACTTTTCACATATGACATCTTTCTATTACATACAGAAGCATAAATTGAATGATGCTTTTCTTGGAACTCAGAAGTCCAGAATTTGCTATGTCTAAGGATATCAGAAGTTAACTTACTTGCCATTGTCAAATTGTGTTCAATTCTAGATAGAGGTAGAAATATACAAGGGCATTTTTGAGCTTAGGAAACCAAACATGACATTAACCTGTTTGAATTCATCTGTCTTGCAAAAAAACCCCACCCAAGTCACACTTGGCATTAGTGGTGGACAAGTAGTGACAAACAGGACTGCCCTAAACTGATTCCCTCCAAGCCCATGGAAGGTCCCGTCAAGTTATTAAATCAAAATATGAGCCTGCTATGGAAATACGACACTGTGCTTAGAGACTTACGGGCTGATTACAGTGTCTGTATCTCTCAGCAGGCAGTCAAGCTCACCATTCTCCTAGACAAAGAACGCAAACCTGTTTGACACCTGAGGCCAATAACCAGAACTGTCAAATGCCCGGCAAAATATCTAGCTTCTAACACTTGATCCATATTCAAAAGAGAACTATACAGTTTTTAAAAGGCTGCTTGCAGGCTAAAATTATTGCAATGCTTCAGGAGGTTTAGTTTGGAGAACTCGGGAAGAGGCTGAAATGGAAGAAAGCGACACAAACTGAAAGTATCCTCAAGTAAGAAAGAATGAACAAAATGCTCCCTGCAGTGTATGAGCAAGGTCACTAGAGAGAAATAAGCAGCGAAGCAAAACATAATGAAGTTGGACTCTTCTCTTTATGGATGCCAGAGAATGTTGGGGTAAGAAGTGTCTGGGATACATTTTCCCCTAATGGAAGCCAAATATTAAAGAGTTTATGTCTTGTTTTGTTCATTGATCCCTCAAGGAACGCATCATAACTTGAGCAATCATATCATCTTCATCAGCATCATAGTCCTAGAACAGAAGACAGGGGAGAAAAAGCATGAGCAAAGGCAACTTGGTCTGGTCCCCAAATTGTTTTTATGCAGCACAGGGTCAACAGCTTTAAGCCTCCAGGCACCTTTAGAATTCTGGCCGCCACTGGAGGAAGAGCCAAAAGAATACCACCCCATCTCCTGGGAAAAAGAAAAGTGGGAATAGAATTACACACTAAGGAAAGCCTGGGTACTGACCAGTCCCCCCCAGCCCTGCTGTGGGAAACCCTTTCATCTGAATGAGGGTAGCCAATAACAAGCCCTGCCTTACAACAGCCCCACCCACTTTCTGATATGTTTCATGGGCACTAAGGGAAGTACTGGCAGGCACCATGTTGGGGAACCTTCTTTACAGAGAGGCACAGACTCTGGGTATGCTCAGTGGCATGGCAGTGTTACTGTATGGGCTCTCACTGGAATACTGACAATTGAAAGACCATGTTTTTAAACAGCAGATGCTAAAAGCCAAGGTTCTCAAAGCAAATGCTTGAGTTCTGCCATTTTGCCACTTAAATCTGCAGGGCACATTTTATGTAGGTTACTTACAACAAAAGTATCATAAGAAAACCGATGCCGTCGCTGAAGATGCTCCATGAAGTTAGCACTTCTATAGCTTGGGTCACCCCATGGCATTGATGCACAAATTGGACAGACCTGGAAAAGTTGAACGTTTATCTACTCAACAACCCTTCCTGATTTTTTTTTTATTAGACTGGCATGCATTCTGAATCCTGTCTGCTTACTGAAATAATTTTTAGTGGCTTGGACCCAAACACTCTACATCTAACTGCAGCACCCTGGTTGCATTACATGACACTGCAGGAAGGTTCCCTTCCTCCATTTTTCAGCAGACAAAGGACTGCGGAGGAGTGGGGCCAAAAAGAGAAGGATAATCCTAATGTACAAATCAACTACATTCATGGTTCTTTGGATACCAGTCAAAGTATCTGATGCACACTCTTGTGTTTACTTGAAAGCATTCCTGATTTACTACAATGGGTTGCATCCTAAGGCTCTCTTCCATCAGAGGGAGCCTCTCTTCACAAAGGGAACTCTTTGGATCCAGACCAATTTACCCAAAATTAAGAAGAGTAGTATTACAAGGATAATGGGACAGTGATGAATTTATAACCCACCTTTCTCCCCAACAGGGACACAAAGCACCTTATGTTATTCTCCTCTCATCCACTGGAATATTTGGCTCATCCAGTTAAGAACCTATGCTTTTGAAATTAAGTACTCTGAACTGCCCTTTCTGGATACAATTTTAAGCAGGCAGGCAAGAGTATCAGATCTACTAGCAAAAAGTGAGAAAAATACTAATTTCATGAAATGTGCTGTAGCTATACTGAATGCCAACATGATGCAAACCACCCAAGACACCTGGGTTCAGACCACCACTCCAGTCCATCTTTCTGCTCAACGTGGCCTACCTCCCAAGCAGTGCTCCCTCTAAGCTGTGGAATCTTGTGAGCAAAACTTCTGCTTTGTGAGCTACAGGCATTAAAGTTATGAGCGAACGATTTGGCTACTGCATAAATTAGTTTGCTCTGGAGCCATTCTTTCTGAGCTAAGACAAAAATCTGTGAGCTGGAGGCTAAAAAAACCTGTGAGTTAGCTTACACTAACTCGGCTTAGAAGGAACACTGCTCCCAAGATATTTATTATTAAATTAAATTTCTAGACCACCCTCCCCTGCAGAGCAGGGCTTAGGGCAGAGCACAACACCAAAAACACATTCATAGATTAAAATATACAGTTAATACAATAAAATACAACAATAATCCTGTTTATTATGGCACAAAAACTACATCAATGAGCCGCCCTGCGGGGGGCGGGCAGGGAACAGGAGTGCCAGAGCATGTGGAAACTGTCACTGTCCTCAACCAAATGCCTACTGGAACATCTCTGCCTTGCAGGCCCTGCAGAATTGCATTAGTTCCCGCAGGGCACAGATGTTACTCATTTTTTTTTTAAATTTTGAAATGTTTATTAAGATAAAGTATAACATATGAAAACATACAATAACTGCAAAACATTATGCAGAAGTCTTGAGAATCCGAAATTACAAACCAATCGGTTAGTCGCCAACAAAACGTTCCACCAGGTTGGAGCCAGGGCCAAAAACAGCCTGGGGCTCTGGTCAAGGACAGCTGGATGTCTCTCGGGCCAAGGATCACATACTGGATTCACAATACTTTGCACTGATGCTCATCTTTATCATTCATCTCAAAGAGACTATATTCCATCATCGAAACAGCTCTACTTGTTAACTGAAACCATAAGTATAACTGAAACCACGTCTTTAATTTTAAAAAGTGCTGTTATTAGAAGACAGAGCAGCCTGTACTGAAGCCACAGATTAGGCCAAGCTGCAGCAAGTAAATCAGTATTACCACTCGCATTGTGTCCAGGCTGTGATACTTTCGGCAGTGTTCTACCAGTCCTTCCTGGTCCAGGTTTCTCTCACTGCAGTAAGGGCATGGAAACGTAAACCTATTCGGAACACTCCTGGAGAAAGAGAGAATGAGGGATTTCACTTACTTGAAAGGTTATGCAAATAAAAGGAAGGCTCCAAGTTTTGCAACAGGATTGCCCCTAGACAAGCAACTTACATCCAAGCAGCAATACCAAAAGAACTGCAGCAGTGACATATCCTCACCCATGGCTGCACTCAACCAGGCATGAAGAGAAACATTCAGAAGCAGCATATAGATTTAAAAGCAAACTTTCAAATTTTTTTGCAGTTTTTACAACATGAAGAGCAAAAGCTCTCTCTTTTTTTTGCCTGACAAAGAACAGCATTTTTTTCACAATACAGGTAAGGCTTTCAAGGCAAAGTCCTCTGTGGGCAAAGCGAACTAGGTAATGGTGAGCAGCTGCTTCTCACAAGGGACCACTGTTCCCTCTAAGCTGAGTTACTATGAGCTAGTTCACAGTTTTTTAGCCTCCGGCTCACACATTTTTGTCTTCGCTCAGGAAGGAGGGCTCCAGAGCAAACTAATCTATGCAGTAACCAAGCCACTCGCTCACAACTTTAATGCCAGCAGCTCACAAAGTAGGACTTTTGCTCACAAGACTACACAGCTTAGAGGAAGCATTGCAAGGGACCCAAGTAATTTCCCATGTCCCACACCAAGGGCACTGCCATAACCATGCCATCTGGAGATAGAAGGAACAAGAGGTCCTATGAGTCTGTCTAGAGAAGGCAGCCTTGGCCTTTTGGAAATGGCAAAAATCAGCTTTCCTTAAAATCTTGTGTACATGCTAAAGGCCCTTGCAGTGAAGAAGGGGACTGCTGGCAAACGCTAATCCAAGCCAATACTTGCAGATACCTGCCTTTTACTTTACCAGCATCCCACTTTCAGAAGTCTTAAGATATATCATGACTCCTAACCACTCCAATCCATTTTGATCCCCACCTAAAGCAATACCTTTCACTCACACACATCGTATTAAGCATTTTGGGCTGCAACTATAGAAGCCTGAAACAGCCTCTTGTGTCCCGCTTCTAACATGACTCCCAGTTCACAAATATCTTAAAGCTAAACCTAGGCTGCGGCCACACGGAGCATTAGCCAGGCTACAGAGATGGAAGATAGGCGGATTTTCTGGGCGCGATCACAGCGCCACATCTGGGAAGCGTAGAGCTCCCGTGGTGAACCCGAGGCTTCCTGCCGAAGATGCGGGGTAAAAAACTAGTACCTCCGAGATACTAGTTTCCGGAAACCGATTCGTTTAAAAACAAACAACACAGCCCCCTCCTCTTTTCCGTACCCCCCCCACTCCTGGCTCGGCCTGCTCGAGAGAAACTCTCTGCACCGGGTGGCAGAGGGGGAGGTGCAGGGAGGGCGTGGCGGGAGGGGGGCCCGGCTGAAGCTCCTCCTGGAGGGGACTGGACGGAGGACACAGTTTGCATTCCTCTGCAGCCCTGGAAGGGGTTAAACCCGCGGAGCCTTTTGCTAGAGAGGCCGCTTCTTTGCCGCGCCGCAGGATTGAGCTGTGATCGGCACCTCCCCCCTAACCATGGGACCTTGAGGGGACCTCTACGGGATGTCTGATCGCACAACCGCGCGTTATTTTGCTCCGGGGCAAACAGCCACACACACACACCCCCGCATTTTCCTGCCCATGTGACCGGGGCCCTAGTCTCCTTTGAAAGGGTGTCAATTTCATCCACAGCCGCTTCATACAAAATCAGTTGTCCCCCCCACCCAGTCATGTCCCTAGAGTGAAACCAACGCAGCAAACCATTGTGTAGCTAACAATCAACAGTGATCCTGACCTGGGTCACAAGAGTTGCAAGTCTAACAAGTCAAGAGTTTCCAGCGAAAGAGCCCAAGTAGAAACACTTACAAAGAACTGCCCACATTTTACTACAAAGTGAGGAGTTTCTAAAGCCCCTTCCCCTCTCCATCGCCTACCGAAACATTCGTTAATGACACTGAGCTCAGTACCATTTGGCCAAGATGTATTAGTCCTCAATTTTGAACCCAATTTTAAACAGCAGCAAGCAAACTGCAACTCTCCATAAAGGTGTTTGTTACCTTGTATCCTGTGGTGGATCTTTAGTCACAGCTCTAACACCTTCCATTATGTAGTTCTGGTATTTCAAGCAAGAAGCGACATGACTACGCAGCTTTGAGAGATACATCTGTACAGGAAGAATCAAACAAGGTTCTCTTCAATGGAGTCATAGCAGAGGCTTCAGACTGAATATAAAAGAAGCATTCTCAGAAGTCTACAAATTAATCCATTTGCTGCTCCAGAAAACACTGAAACACAGCAGGCTCCAGGTCACAGTGGGTGCAGATCCCTTACAGTGCTTCAGACAGATGACACCTTGCTTACCAGACCACTGTTAAATTCTTCTTTCATTTCCTGGATAGGCCACTGTTTCTCTCATGCACCCAGGTTAGGTCTTCTAGCTTTCTTCTTTCTTTTGGAGCAATAGCCAAATAAAAGTAGATTCCTTCTTACATTTTCTTCTACTGTGACAGTAATGTTAACAATGCCAGGATTTCCATGGAAGCATCAGAATTGTACTTTGAACAACAACTTATGCCTCTGTGTCAGATACCTTGTAGTTAATTATTAAAAACCAAACCTTAGGGCTCAGGTGACAAGACGTGATGGGAGTTTAACTACCACAGACTTCACTATATAGTATGCCCAATATATAATAGACATTGGACTCAAAACTTTTGATTTATGACATTTTATCATAATGCTTCTGACATCTAATTAGAGCTGCATCTTACAGATGTACACAGCATTTTATATGCCCTCTCATCTCATTTGTGCAGGTCATGAATACAAGGCTATAAAAGGCCAAATTTATTTTATGAATGGGAAAGCTGGGCTTCAATCAACCCACCTAAGGAGTCCACAACCAAAGTAGGATTTGAACTCAGGTTTACAGGGGCCAAATTATGAGAAGTGTTTCTTAAAGTGCCAGTGACAAAATTTTTGGCTAGAAAAAACAGACGGCCACACCAATCACATTTTATACATCATGCTAATATATCACGAAAGGGCTGCGGTGGCTCAAGTGGTTAAGATGCTGAACTGCAGGCTGTGGAAGGTCGGTAGTTCAGCAGTTTGAGACCCAAGTGCCGTGTGACAGAGTGAGATTCTGCCTCTGGCCCCAGCTCCTGCCAACCTAGCAGTTTGAAAGCAAGAAACTGCAAGTAGATGAATAGGTACCACTTCAGTGGGAAGGTAACAGCGTTCCGTGCGCCTCGGCATTTAGTCATGCCAGCCACATGACCACGGAATTGTCTTTGGACAGCGCTGGCTCTTCGGCTTTGAAACGGAGATGAGCACTGCAACCCTAGAGTCCGATTCGACTGGCTTTTGAGCAAGGGAAACCTTTACTTAATATATCATGAAAATGCTGACACAAGCCTACTGTGTCACATTAAAAAAGAACCCAACTCAAATGGGGGGGAGGGGGAAACAGGGGGATGGCTTCTAATGTCCTGGCCCCACTGGTGGACCTCCTGATGGCACTGGTATTTCTGGCCACTGTGTGACACAGAGTGTTGGACTGGATGGGCCTTTGGCCTCATCCAACATTGGCATCTCTTATGTTCTTATGTTCAACAGTATGACGATAATGGGCACATTCAGTTTATAGGATGAAGGCAAAGCTAACCATGTAGAAAGCTTCAACAATTATCACTCGTGTTTTACTTCACTTCTAGATTTTCTTTGTAGAAGAGAGTTTTGATATAACCAATTAACCTTAGAATCCACATGCAGCAAAACACAAGCCTCTGATCCTTCCTATATCTGATCTAGTTTCCCTAGCTCTCTATCCATTTCACCATGCTTCAAAGCTAGTCATTACACTCCATCTTTAGAATAAAAGCTGATCTACTCTTGCATCAACTTTAGAAGAAGAGTTAGTTTTTATACCCTGCTTTTCACTATCAAAAGGAGTTTCAGAGCAGCTTGCAATTGCCTTCCCTTCCTCTCCTCACAAGACACACTTGTGTGAGGTACGTGGGGCTGAGAGAGTTTTGAGAAAACTGTGATTGACCTAAGGTCACCCAGCTGGCTGCACATGGAGGAGTGGGGAATCAAACCTAGTTCTCCAGATTAGAGTCCGCCACTCTTAACGACTACACTAAACTGGTTTTAACTTATGACACCCAAAGAACTGTAAAAATGAGGTGCTAATTGTACTAACAAACCAACATGCTGCCTAATTAAGGAAACGCTATCTACATGCACCTCTTAAGCTACAACAGGCTGTTATCAAGTTTGTAACATATTCATCATGTCAGTATCAACACCACAGGGAAAACCTGCAGAAGGATTTGTATTGTGTCTCTACTGAAATGTTATGAACTGGGAGACAGGGATCCCTACCTGTGGCAAAATCTGTTAACTCCAAACTGTTTCTGAAGCTGACAGATCTCATTGCAGGAAATATTTACACGTTTCACCTGCCATGCCGAACTGGGAGACAGGGATCCCCACCTGTGGCAAAATATGCGAACTCCAAACTGTTTTTGAAGCTGACAGATCTCATTGCTGGAAATATTTACACGTTTCACCTGCCATGCTACAGTTGAGACAAGTCTCAATTAAACCTTCTCTTTCCCCACTTATAATTGACAAGCTCTTTGCCTATCTGTAAATTCTGCCCCAAACACTATGAGAAAAGGAGACCTCATCAAGTTACTACAAACATTGGTAGCTTTTACAAGAGTTATGACAATTATCAAGTCAGAAAGCAGAAAAAGCTTCTATCAAGACTAATTGCTCTATGTAGGTAAGGTATTCCAATATTCCATACTTTTTTACTGCAGCCATTGCAAGTGGTCTCTGTCATTTCAATTTGCTTTTCCAAGTCCAAAGCTCTGCTGCCGTTAGACAGGGTACTGCGGCAAACTCCACAAACTGGCTTTTTCGGCTTAAGACATTCCTGAATGCACGGCATACAGAAGCTAGCGTGGAAGAAAGACACCATGAGAACATTCCCAATACAGAGAACGCAGCCAGAATGCAAACATTCCCCCCACCTCCCATTACCACTGAGTCAAACTATTTTTAATCTGTGTCACTTTAAATTCAGCTTTTAGCAAGTTGTTTGTAGCTACATAGCTCTTTCAAGTGTTTCTTAAAGAAGCCACACACCTTATGAAATGCTATTTTATGTCACTATTACCACTACCACTCACAACGTTGCCCACTGACCAACCACTATAGGTGAGGTGGCAATGACTGCTGCACAGGAGAATGTTATATCACCGCTGCCCCTTATATACAAATGAACTTCCCTGAGATTAATTTCACTAGGAGTATCTACAATCAGTAGGGTTAAAAGGCACTTCAAATCCCTAGGGTCTAAAAAAGAGGGTTAAGCATACAACAACAAGGCAAATAAAAGATATTAAACTACTTATATATTTGGCTGTTGGGAACAATCCTAATACGGGAAGTGGCATATTTTTCATCTGGTACACACAACAAGTTCATTATTTACTCCTTTAGAATGGGAGAAAATTAAGACAACAACAACATCTGTGCTAGTACCCAGAAGGATTAATATACTTCATGTATAATAACCAAATTCCCACAGATTCATATCTGTTCTGTGTACATAAGTGCTGCTGAGCCATTTTGTGTCTTTGATTTTGTTGTAAGGCTCCACCACAAAGAGGAATCATTTTTAAAATATGATGTAAAATAGGGAAATGCTGGCTAAGGGAGAAAGCAGAGCCAAGCACTAAGGAAGATATGCAACATCTGCAAAAGTACTTTCAGTTTCTGTTCTACTCCATCATCCATGTTTCCCAGAATCTCTTATTCATGTAGCTACTGAACAACTCTGGAATTTGATACACCCAAGAATACTAAGTGTATTACAGTTCTTGAGCACAGGCTACAGCAGGAGTAGGCAACTTTTATGGCTCAAGTAGCAAAAAATCCACTATCTACCTGTTAAGGTACTGGTGTACCCACATGCAAAGTGTGTGGGGGGAGGAGAAAAATGATGGTTGTACCTGGCCACACACACTGCATTTGTTATTTATAGATCTATTTTTTCCACATGAAAGCAAAGGGATATTATAAGACTGATTTAGAAATGTCCACAGGAAACATCAGTGATTTTGCTTTCAGAGTACATGCTTATGAATGTGATCATAAGAGAAGAAAATAGTACCTGCATAAGATCCTAAAAGATGCTTTGTAAAAAGAACCCTACCGAGGCACAAGGGTACCCAGAGGAAGAGATCACAGTTCAAATGTTCACTGTATGAACTACCATTCTAATTTCAAACAACTGCTGTTCTACAGGAGCGCACCCTTCCCCCAGATCATGCTCAACTACACTTCTGCCTTTGCGATGGAGCAAAGGAGCTGCCATGTAAAACTCTTATCACTCAGCAGCACACAGGCTAGGTTTGCCTGTCTTCTACAGAAAGTTAGGCACACAGATATTCTGTTGAAATTCCTGGGTCATATTCCTCTGAATGTTTCTATTCTTCTAGAATGCATCCCAAGCTGCTCTTGTGGCTGTTAAAAGATACCACAGTAGAAACATCAGTGAGAGCATGGCAAGGCCTGGACTTAGAAAAGAGTACTGCTCTGCATCTCAAGAAGCCCAAGGAGTACTCATGTGAACACTTACACTGGTGCCCCAAAGGCAACATAAAGCTGCTATCAGTCCTATGCAAGAACTTACATTGGTAGTGTGCCTGTACACAAACAGCCTTCCTCTGCCTATGTGCATACACACACAACACACTGAGGTGGCAGGGAGACAAGGCATTAAAATAGTCTTTGGACCACAGAGGAGGGATTCCCAAAATCTCAGCATTAACATATTCTTATAACTGGAAAACTAATTGACCTGGCAGAGGGCTAGACTAGAACCTCTCCCCCAATGCAATCTTTTGGCAGGGAGCTTTTACATGGGGGAAGCATTAAAACCATAACCCTACACGGATCAGCCCATTAGCCAACTTCGAATTCTGCATGCCTCCAACCACATCCCATCAGCCATATATTCCTACACAGGCTGTCAGCTTAGTGCCTGCTGAAAGTCTTATTGCATAACTCTTAGTAGAGAAACTGGATGACCAACTGCCTCCGCCTTTAACAGGTTTGCACAAGGAATTTTAGGACATCCACTTTCCCATAAGCCCTATTCAGCTCAATCATTAAGACAGAAAAGTGATCTTTTTCCTTTCAGCTGACTACAAAGAAAGGCTTTTTCCATTAGAAAAAGAACCTGCTATGCTTAACAGCTACCTAGCTGCTACGGTTTCAGCAAAGTTGTATATACTTTCAATTGTTTACAAGTAGGCAGGAATATCCAGACTGCAATGAGAAATTGGCTTCCTGGCTACTTTCTGTTTCTCAGGACATGAGTACAGCAGAAAAGAAACAAAAGCGAAACTGAAAGCAGTCGACACTGAGTGGGGAATTTTCCCAGGGGGAAAACCTATGAGTAGTTTCCCGAGGGGGACTAAGAGCAGCTCCTTGGGACCTTTCTAAGAAGGAAAAACAGGCCTGGCCCAGGGCAGGCTTCAGCATCAGGCCCACAGTATGTATGCAAAGAGAGGCAGGAGGGATGACACACTTGCTCGCTATCAAGCACGACCGAGAAGCGGCAAGTGGCAGTAGCATGTTTATTACGGCATCGCGCCAAACATTAACCAAGACACTTTTGGATATAGGGAACAGCAGCTCTGTTCAGGGCTCCACGACCCACCCGAGCATCCCATCCCAACCCACGTGCCGAAGTCCACCGCCCTAAACAACACAAGTGCTCGCGCTAGCGGCAAAGCAAGCCCGCTTTGGAGATTAAGGCTATGCACGCAAGCCAGTGTGCACACCTGCTTAGGGAACAGGCAGCAGCAGAAAACGTGAGGCCACACGCGCACGGCTTAGAACGAAAAACAGCTCGGGCGGGGGAGGTTTACATACATTGGGTGGGGGGAGAAGAATGAGCGGGAATCAGGAGTCCTCCTCCCCACAGCCCTGTCTGGACCGAGCCAACCTCTGCTTGCTATTCTCGAGCTCTACTACCTCAACAAACACCCCTAACCACCCTGGTCTCTTCAGGCCTGCCCGGCCTGCCTCGCCCCTTCCCCCTCTCCTACGCACAAAACACCGCCGCCGCCGCCCCAGCCCCCTTCAGCCACTCACACATGGCCGCAAGGCGCCCGCACGGGGTTCTCGTACACCTCCAAGCAGACCGGGCAAGTGAAGCGAGAAAGCGGGTCTAGCCTCTCAGCGGCCGGCGCCCCCTCAGGGAACCGAGCACCAGCTTCGGCCAGCGCCATCTTGGACCGCCGCTTCCGCCAACGACACCCAAGAGCTCCCAACCGCTCCGCGAAGCGCTACGGCGCTCTAAAAGGGCCACTCCCCGTCTAGACCGCACCCACCGGACGCCGAAGGACCCCACCGCGCTTGCGCGGCCAGGAGGAGGCCTTCGGGCTGCGTGACGTTGGGGGATCCCCGCCGTTTGAAAGAGCTAGGGAGTTCCCAGAGGTTGCGATTGCAGCAGCAACAAGAAAGTGGATAAGCGAAAGGGAGTGTGGTGAAATGTGGAAAACACTGATAGCAATAGCATTACTGTGGCATCGGCTTTCATGGACAACAGCCAACAGCCTCCCAGCAGTTTTTGAAACGTAGTTCTCAGACGCCGCTGTCTGGGGAAATTGAAAACTGATAAGTCTCCAGATCCTGATGGCACACCACCGAGAGTTCTTGAGGAACTCAGATGTGAGATCTTACAGGCCTCGGTTCCTACCAGAGCGCTCCGCTAGTCAGGAGCCCAGGGGGCGGCGGGCAGCCTCGCCCCCTGCTCCCACCAGCCTTCAGTTGGGACACAAGGCAAAACCTTCCGCCTCCCTGAGCCCCGGGGTAGCCTTAGACTCTTAAGGACAAATTCCACCTCTTGCTTGTGAAATTCCATCTCACCCGAGAGGTCATTCTGGCTCCCCCAGCTCTCGGAAACGTTCTTTTGCCTCCCTGAGCCTTTCGTAGGGGCAAATTCCACCTCTCTGTGAAATTCCACCTCACACAAGAGGTCATTCTGGCTCCCCCAGCTCTTGGGATGGTCTCCTTAAAAAGTTATGGCCGCCTGTGGTGGGGCGAATTGTTCTTTTGCCTCCCTGAGCCCCGGGGTGGTGGCCTTGGACTCCTAGAGGGGCTCTTTAAAAAGTTATGGCCGCAGGCACTGTTCTCGGCGGCAGCTGCGATGCCTGTGCACGGGGTGGTGGTGCTGCGAAACGTTCTTTTGCCTCCCTGAGCCCCGGGGTGGTGGCCTTGGACTCCTAGAGGGGCTCTTTAAAAAGTTATGGCCGCAGGCACTGTTCTCGGCGGCAGCTGCGATGCCTGTGCACGGGGTGGTGGTGCTGCGAAACGTTCTTTTGCCTCCCTGAGCCCGGGGGTGGTGGCCTTGGACTCCTAGAGGGGCTCTTAAAAAAGTTATGGCCACCGGCACTGTTCTCGACGGCAGCTGCGACGCCCGTGCACGGGGTGGTGGTGCTGCGAAACGTTCTTTTGCCTCCCTTTGGACTCGTAGGGGCAAATTCCACCTCTCGCGTGTGATGTCCGAGCGGCATTGCCTTATATAAATATAATTTATATAAATGTAATTTATTAGTTAATTATACACGCGCCTAGATTAATCAATAACACTAAGAATAAAATCAGCAACCGCTTTCGGAACCAAAAAAAAGAGCCTACATATCCCAGAATGCTCTGTGAGCGCTCGATCCACAGGAAACTGCGACCCCTACCATGCTTTGCCGTGAGCCATGTGCGCAAGCAATTTGGCTACTGCATAAATTGGTTTGGTCTGGAGCCATCCTGACTTCCTGAGCTAAGACAAAAATCCATGAGCTGGAAGCTAAAAAACTGTAAGCTAGCTCACACTAGCTCAGCTTAGAAGGAACACTGGTCCCAAGGTCACACCAGCAGTTGCATGTGGAGGAGTGGAGAATCAAACCCGGTTCTCCTAGATTAGAGTCTGTGCTCCTAACCACCACACCAAACTGAAACAGTTTTGTTTGTGTCCTGTGCTAGGGAGGGGCTGTGGCTCAGTGGTAGAGCCTCTGCTTGGCCTGCAGAAGGTCCCAGGTTCATTTCCTGGTATCTCCAGTTGAAAGCACCAGGCTGTTGGTGATGGGAAAGACCTCTGCCTGAGACCCTGGAAAGCTGCTGCCAGTCTGAGTAGGCAATACTGACCTTGATGGACCCAGGGTCTAATTCAGTAGAAGGCAGCTGCTTGTGACCATGTCTCCTCGAGATGATCTAGCTGCATGCAAGTCCAGCTAAATCACAGTATCAGTGGTGATTTGGGGGCCACAGGCTGAAAGGGGTGGCTGCTTCTCCATGTTGGGCTTCGGGTGACTGTCTTTCGGTGGGTTTTTTAATTAATTTATTTATTTATTCTTTCGGCTTATATACCGCCCTGACCCCGAAGGGTCTCTGGGCGGTTTACATAGTGATTCTAACCAACCAATTAACCTAACTAGGGCCACATTGTCTACAGGGTGGTGATTGCCTACCAGCACCCCGGGCTAGTTGTCATCCGGCTTCCTTCCGCGGCTTCAGATATTGGCGTCCTGGTGCTCTTTCTGGAGCCGATCTTCCCCGAGCAGCTTCCTCCGGCAGGTCTCCTCTTGGCGCATGGTTCTGTGTTGGCTGCAGTTCCAGCTACTGTCCACAGGTGGCTCCGCCGCACTGTGCCGCACGTCACCACGCTCTCCAAGGCTCCACTTCTCTGGGCTCCGCCTCCGCCTCTGATATTGCTCCACCGATCTCCAGGAACTGCTCCGCCGCCATTGTTGCTGCTTGTTGCCGCCGCCGAACCCTCTACCTCACAGGGAGGAGGGGTGCCCCCTGCCACCTAGGGCAGGTACCTACTTTATCTACTTGCATTTATGATGCTTTTGAACCGCTGGGTGGACGGGAGCTGGGACGTGGGCCGGGAGCTCACCCTCTTCCAACGGCCTTTGAGCCCGATCTGCCTCGCAAGATTGTTGTGCTAAATTGAAATTATCATATGTCATTGTGCGTGGAACAGCCAGGAGAACCCCCACTGGGGGGATTTTTTGGCTACCAAAGCTGTAGCTCTCTTTTAGCACTACTAGGTGGTGTGCTATGCTTATTTTTAGGCTGAGAGTGCTGTGACTTGCCTAAGGTCACCCAGCGAGCTTCAAGGGGGGAATCGAACCTGGTTCTCCAGATTAGAATCCACCGCTCTTAACCACTACACCAAACTGGCTCATCTCTTGATTCAATTGTGACCAACATAGAGTTGAGTGTATTAATCCAGCTGCCTGAGATTGCAGAGGGGTTTGCAGTTCAGCTGCTACTACAAGAACCTTCTGATCCTATTAGGGATGCTACTAAGTCAATATCTACTTCTGCTTCATCAAAGGTGTTAATTTAAATTATGCCAACTGCCAATAAAGATGATGCATTGGAGGGGAAATCAATAGTTAGTGACAGAACATTTCAAGCTGAAGCCAACAAGTCTTCACAGGAGTCTCTTATTATACAAAGCAAATGCTAACAATAAAGATCTACAGGAAAAAATGAACTTTTAAGGTTTGACATTGACACCTTTAAAAGGGACTTCAGAGAAATTTATCAAAATTGTAGAACCTCCTTGGCCTGTAAATGACTTCTGAGATTAATATCTTTAATGGTGGGCAGTTTTTCTTGAAGGCTGTTTAATTACATTTTATCTTTGAAAGTACGTTGATTTGCCAGGTTCGGTAGGGTGGCGAATGGTTGTTGTACCAGTGGGGAAATAATGGCCAGTAGAAAAATTCAGAAGTTATAACTTGATAGTATTGTTACTGGGGTCATTAGTAACTGTTTTGTTGTTGTTGTCACTGTCTTTCTGGTTCTCCCCTCTCTGTGTAGTCTATGAAAGAGGATTGTGATATTCTATTGAGAATTTCAACCGTCCTTGCCCCCTTGTCAACTCCTCTTAACCCATGGTAGTTCATTTTTGTTTGGGTGTTCCCTGGAAGCCAGATTTTAAAGGACAGAGATCATTTACCGCATCCTGCATTTTGCGTTTGGTTGTCACTGTGTTTGTAAAGTTCAGTCAAGTATTTTCATCTTTGTTTCATTAGCCTGGATATCAAGAGCAGTTTTAAACAGTTATGATGACTGCGCTGGTACAGCCTTTGTTGATGTGTTTAAGTGCCTTTTTTATGTTTCTCCACATGCTGCCAACAAACTGTATTTTTAAGAGGGTTTTTTTAATATATATATATATTGGTGGTATTGTGCTTTGAGAAGAGATTGGTGAACAATACAGCAGTGTCGGATAAGTTCCAAACGATGCACAGCAGCTGATGAACGATGGGCTGAATATTTTGAGTAATTCCTGTTAAGATCGACATCTGCATTTTCATAGCTTTGTGCTATTGGAACTCGTCAAACTGTACCAGTTTGACGGCTCTCCTAACAGCCCATGAAGAACTTCATGCCACAGCTTGAAAATTTGATATAACCTGTTTTGCTGATGGCCAGATGGCACTGCCTTTTGGAAACAAATCAGAGTTTTGGTGGAGGCAGGCTTGCTGAGATCCCCATCAGAGTGGAAGGCAGCAGATTTGTTCAGGAGGAAGTTGTTCCGCTCAAGAAGATGACAGCCAGCCTTGTGTCGTGGTTAGCCTGCCTGGCTAGGATCTGGGAGACCCAGGTTCGAATCCCCACTCTGCCATGGAAGCTCACTAGGTGACCTTGGGCCAGTCACACTCATTGTGGCCCTGTTCACATTACCATTTAAACCAGATGTTATTCGTTATTGGCCCAATTTCGAGTAAAGTCAGGGGTCATTTCCTGCAGGAGTGCACAGGAGCGGAGCTCCGGCAGTAAAGAGCCCAGGGGGCAGGCACATGCAACAAGCCCCACCCCCTGCTCCCAGCAGCCCTCAGTCAGAGCAAGAAGCAGCCAGGTAAGCTGCAGAGCTCCCCCCGGTCCAAAACAGTCCAATATTGTAATGCCCTTGTATAGATCTATGGTGCAGCCTCATTTGGAATACTGTGTACAGTTCTGGTCACTGTATCTCCAAAAGGACATTGCAGAGCTGGAAAAAGTGCAGAGGAGGGCGACCAAGATGATTAGGGGGTTGGAGCACCTTCCCTATGAGGGAAGGCTGAAGAGTCTGGGACTTTTCAGTTTAGAAAAGAGATGACTAGGGAGGGACATGATAGAAGTTTATAAAATTATACATGGGCTGGGGAGAGAGGAGAAAGTGAAATTTTTCTCCCTCTGTCAAAATACCACAACTCAAGGGCATCACTGAAGCTGATGGGCAGTAGATTCAGGATGAACAAAAGAAAATACTTCTTTCCCAGAGA